AACTAAAAATTAAATGTGGAAAAGGAAAGGACTGTTTCTAACTGCCACTCTACACTCCCCCAGAAGCAAAACCAACAACAATCCCACAAAACTCCTTGGACAAACTGACATCCACAGTGGGACTACACTGAAATATTTGGTCTAGGGTGTGCTGTAGCAGCCTGAGGTTGAACCTCCTGAACCCCAGAGCGGGAGCTGTCACTGCAGCCTTGCATGACAAATCAGGACAAGAACCACGTGTGGGCTCCATGTCGCTATTTTACCAAGACAACAGGTATCTTCTTAAAGACAGACAGCTTGAAGAAATGGGCAGAGTCCAAGAATACAACTTCCACTTGCTTACACACAGTCTGCTTGACCACAATGCCAGAGCACTGAGTCCAACACCATTCTGCACTCAACACCCATATTTCAGTCTGCACGTACATTTAAGAATGAAGTGGCTCTGAAGCACCACCACGACATCCCTTCTGCAAACAATACCTCAGTATTGCACAGAAATCCACATTTCAGATAGAAACTTAACACTTCAGGCTATGCATGGTCACTAAGCTGACCAATTAGTTCTTCAGCTTTGATGTCTTGCCCCGGGCTCTGAGGTTGCTCTGGGTGTTTCAGCAGCACAGGATACACTTACAGTACAATGCTGAACCTGAGATTTTTCTTATCAGCAAGCATCAACATGAATTTTAGCTATCAGATGAAAATGTTATGACTGAAAATGGAGGGAGCAAGTCAGAAAGGACAAAAATTATCTGGTTACAATACCTGCAGCAGTAACTGGACTTGGACTTATGACTCCTGGAAGAATTCTACCTGTAAATGCATCCATAAAAAAAAAGTCTGAGAAATATTTTTCACAGATAATTTATACTACCTGCAATACTGGCCACTGAAAATCCACCCAGTCAATACACAGTACTCTGACACCTAGACATGGCATTCTCAGTTTTATTCCAGTGCTTCCTGCCTGGACAGGTCTAAACCTACCCTACTTGTCAATAAAGGATATTTCCATGACAGTCAAATAAAAGGAAATATTCCGAGTTAGACTGCCATGAGCTTTGATGAAAAACAAACAAAAAATCAGTGCATTTTGGTATAAGACTGAAAACAGTGATACAGAGAAGACAGCTGCAGCACAGGCTCTGGATTGATATAGGGGATCATGGAATAAAAAAGCCATTAGCAATCTACAGGGCAGGGAGGAAGCCATTCAGCCTGGTGTACCCACAGCCTCTGCTATGAACACGTGTTTTAAGCCTAACTAAAATCCTAACTCAGACCCAACCAACAGCACTGTCTTTGCACCGCTGACTCCCAGGCTGGCCTAAGGATGCTCAGCTCCACATCCAGAGCACTACAGATGTCCAAGAGAGGTTCCTGACTCAAGGACTGTGCAATAGAGGATACTCTCCATTTCCTTGGGAATCAGGAAAGCTCTTTGGTGTTAGCTTCATACTGAAACCCACCCTCCAACACCCCAGACTAAGCTGTAGTGCTTCCTCTCTTTCCATTAACACAGGCTACCAAGCTAAAGGTGCAACAGATGGAGAGAGTTTTCTTTTTTAACCAATTTCAATAATTCCATTTCAAACAGGTTTATTAAAACTAAGGCAGACTGCAGCTGGCTACACTTAAACAAGGCTGGCTGCAAGTTCTCAAGCCCTGTAAAACACCAAGGCATATAAACAAACTAACAAGCCTCACAAAGGAGTGTTTATACTCCAGTAGGCATTATTACCTGCACTCAGTCAGCATGGACACAGTACACACCCACATGGGCACTTAGCCTGGTGCTTGCACTCCTAAAAAACCTGAAGAGCCACTGGTTCCAAAAAGGTTTTTCCAGAAATACACAGCTCATGGAGCCACTGGCATTTTGACAGCAAAGACAAACCAAGAGCTCTAAGTCACCATTTCTTACCTGAAAATAAAGTATTTTCCCACAGAGGAAGCACAAGGAGTCAAAGCAAACCTGTGGGCAAGCAAAGAACAGAACTGTGAAGGAATAAATTGAAGCAAAAAAAGAAAGGAGGGTACTTGCTCAGCAGTTCAATAAACTCTCATAAGCACTTCACAAGATTCCCTAATATGATGCACCAGTAGGTCCAAACAAGCAGACAACCATCAAGACTGCAGTATAAGCACTCACAACAACCACAGGTAGGGCTAACAAAAGCTGCACACAATACCTGCTTCTACAGAGGCAGCTGTAAATGAAACGGGCAGTTACAGAGAATTTATCACCACCTACAATTAAATTAGGGGTGGCACTGTCCTGGCCAAGGGGGGGAATTTAGGTGAATATCATTGCTTAGGTCACCCAGGAACTACAAGAGCAAAAGAAAGTGCTGCAGAGAACTTAGCCAATTAAAGCCAAGAATTAATTACAGGCTTCTTACATTTCAGTCAAGGCAGCACTGTTACGAGCAATTACCACTCTAGCCACATTCCCAACTTGACCTTAATTAATTCCCCTGGATTACAGGCAAACAGATTTTACTCTCAGCCTGCTCAAGTATGATTTTATTTCCATAGAGGAGACATCCACCACGTTATCTGCAGGAATGTAAACTGAACTCATCCACGGGCTGACCCAGGTCAAATGAAGTGCCTTCACCGAAGCCATCTTCCATCACAAAACTATTAACAGTCACACAAAAATTAAAGAGAGAACTATATCATGACTGATCTTTGCTGAAGTCTTCCCACTTGGCTTTTTTTTGGAAACTGGTCCCGTGAAAGGATCCTTACTTATTACAGAAATTTAAATGAATCCAGGTTCAAAGGCATCTCTGTTACAGAGATGCTCAATTACAAGCTGCCGTACAGATACTTCCAAAAGGTTAATTCAAGTCACTGTCATTGTTTTGAACACTTGGTTTAATTCTCCTACTGCATACACCACCAAATTCTGTACTCAGAAAGACGGCATTTCTTTCATCCAGCTTCGGCTTACCAATATTCAGATATCCCTCCTGATCTATTTTCAAGCATTTAGGCTACAAACAATAGCCCGGGATCACAGAAACATCTCCGGTACACAAAAGATTCTCAACAACTAAAGGAGATACAACTGTTTTCCAAAACTGTACTGACAACCTGTTTCGATTAACCAAGCCCCGGTCCGGCTACAGACTGAGCATCCACACCAAGCCCACTGGCACAAAACCCCACCTGGGCAGCAATAAGCCCTATCTAAAGCCAGGCCTGCCAGGAAGAACCCCACGATGCCTCCCAACTGCACGCCATGAGGCAGCTCTCGGGTCAGCGCATAAAGATCCACAATTATTTCTGTTCCTTTAAAACATTTTAAAGGGACAAAACGCAGCGGGATGGAGAAGTGCTCCACGCTTTGCGGGACGCAGAAGGGCGCGAAGCCTCCAGCCGGCGGTACCGCCTGCGGAAGCCTCCCCAGGCCGTGGCGAACGCCGGCGGGGCCGGTACCTGCTCCACGCGGGTTCCCGTCCCCCGGGGCCGGGCGAGGCGCCCCCGGGACCGGCCCCGCCGGGGCCCCGCGCCCCTCCCGCTCCCGCCGCTCGGGGCCCCTCCGAGCCCGCCTCGGGCCCCGGCACGGCCCCCACCGGCCCCGGCCCCGCCGCAAGGTCACTCGGCCGCCCCCGCCGCCCGGGCCCGCGCTCGGCCCGCACGG